GAATGCCATCACGTCGAATAAACATACAACGACTTCTCGACCGGACGTTCAATGGTTATTCTTTCATAAAATATCGAGATCAAAGAAATAAAAGGTAAGATTTATAATTATTTATCATTAGCAATAGTTTTATGAGAGAAATAAATGCAAAGTCGGAACATCAGCAGCCATTATTCAGTGATTTTTAAGACAAATATTTCTTTTTCAATCGGTCTAAAGTAAATTATCGTAAAATTAGAAAGTTTTTTTTGTTAATTATTTCAAACTTTTTCAATGTCTTTGTTCAATAATCATATTATTACACATGTGCGCATTTTACGTGCATAGAACGCTACATTCCATACCCGCGAATTTTACGCATGTTGAACGCTGCGTAAAAGACGTATATGTGTGCGAGTCCAACAATTGTTTATATTGACTAATAAAATGTTTTTTATTCTCGAAGATTATTTCGTAACTATCGTAAAATTGTAGTTTTTTCGTTAATCGTTTTAACCTTTTTCAGTATTTTTGTTCAATAAGCATATTCCCTACACAAGTGTGCGTTTGATGTATTTTGAATGATACGTAAAACACGTACATGTGTGCAAGTCCAACAGTTGTTTACATTGACTAGTAATACGATATTGTTTATTCTCGTAGATTACTTCGCTGCAAATTATTTAGAAGTCATTATTGTGAAAGAAAAGGATATGTGTTAAATCTTCGTTTCGTAGAAACTACTCGTCACAACCATCCTGCAGATGAAAATCTTCTTCTAATGAACGCGTTTATAGATTTGTTACGTACTGCATGTTTCACACAACTAGCAGATACTAGGAGTATCTATAATCGACTTTCGATTTTGTAAGTTTTTTTTTTTTTGTGTTGACTATATAAAATTGGTAAACATTTATTGAAGTTTGTTCTCATGTTCCTTAAAATTAGTTTAGTTTTTTTGTGTATATGTGTACTCTATATACAGATAATTTGATATATTTTTTTCTTTTCTAATAGGCATTAATGAAGTCAATATGCCCTGAAGAAAATGAATTGTAAAAATTTATTAAAAATTTTATAAATGTTCATGGTTTTGCCCATGACATGTGTGCACGTGTTATGCCATTTTACAATTCATTTTTGTCAGTGTATTTTTTTTTTTTTTTTATTTATTTATAAAAATCTTTTCTTTTATATATCTATTCATTAATGTAGGCATAGAGAAGCTGCTCTATTACTACCATATAGAGTCGTAAAGAAAAACATGTATTGTTGGCAACGTAACGCGAGGATTCCAAGGGCACCGTCATTACGAGTATTTGATGCGGTTCTGAGAGTGCGAAGATATCAACAACTCACAATACACGATCAAGGGCTAATGAGCGTCAATTTCGAAAGGATTCATGAAGATGTAGTATCGTGCAGCTTTTTCGACAATGAATTAACCAGAAAAATTCTTACCAAAGTAAATGCCGATGCAATATCTTTATATGTTGACTGTAGTCACAGAATCATACCTGGAGAAATGGGCATACAAAGGACTATTTCGTGGAATATTAAATTGAATAATTATGTAAGTATCTGATCAATAAAAATTTTCTTTATAAATTTATAGCTTTGTAATATCGTTCTAATTATAAATTAAAATTTCAAATTTTTTTAGAGCTTCCCAATCTCTTGGAATTTCATAGCTGACAATAATGATCGTACCTATAACAATCTCGTCAGTGAAATAGAGTCAAATTTGATAGAAAACGATGTCATTCCTCATGTAATTTACTACAACTTCGATGAAAAACTCCATCGCTCGTTATCTAGAGAATTTCCTATTAGTTCTATTCACGGACTTTTTACTTCTCATTGCGAAATTTTATTAGCTCAAGCAAAAAACACCCAAGGAATCAACTTGAGAGATAGAAATCATCGTCTACTAGTAACAAAATTTATCTGTTTGAGTTTATTACCAGCAGATAATATCTAAAGAGCATTTCTTGATTTATATCACGCGATTCCAAATGAGATTATAAGAGGTGGTTTTGAACCCTTTATTCGCTACTATTATGAGAAGTGGATCTATGGAGTAGGAGTTCAAAATTATGCTTGCAATAACATTGCGTCACTTGCTGACACATGTTGCACAAACTGGAGGAAAATAACTGCTATGCTGAAGAATCGTATGGATATATGGAACTTTACTAAAAAGTTATTAAAGTGGTATGCCAAATCTCATCGAGAAATAGCAAATATTGACCAAAATAAGCCCTTAAGTTGGACTCCACGAATAAGGTCATCGGTGAACAAATCAAGATTAAGAGAAATTTGGTGGTATTTTGACAATAACAGAATAAATGTTCATGAATTTTTGAAATTCGCATTAAATGTTGTCAGTCCTTCGGTAAACAATTATCTTTATAATGACGTTGAAATTGATCCGAATTTCACACTTGTCAAATTGGTCAATGATGAAAATGGTGAGTATACTAATACAAATTTATATACATATAAATAATGACGACAATTGCATAATTATAGTTGGCGAGCTACCAGCTTATGAGTATGAGCCAAACAACGATCTTTTTGAAGACAGAGTCTTAGACAATCTACCAGCACGTCGCCGAAACAATCACATTGGAGAGGACCAGGATAATGATGGTAAAAAGTGCATTTATTGTTGAAAAAAAAATTGATTGACTCGTAATTATAGAAAATTCTATCTTTATTACAGATTTTAATGACTCTGGATCTATCTTCTTTTTCTCGATCTACAAAAACTTATGCGTGCTATGTTCTCTTCATTTCTTACTTAGCACTCGGTCAGATTTTATCTATTCTATCTATTCTCTTTACTTCTTGATTCAAAATACTTATAAAATTATGTATGTATAGATGTTGTTAAACTATATAGTTAAATTAAGACATATATGTTAAAATTATATTACAGATCAACCAATGGAGGAAGCAAACATATGTCAAGCATGCGAGAGAAACAATGTTTTGATCGAGCTTCAACCATGTGGACATGCAGCTCTATGTGAAGACTGCTATGATATAATCGATGTACTGGCAGAAGCAGATCGTGAACAAGTAAGATGTCCTTTGTGCCGAGGAATCATTGAAGATATAATTCCTATCGTTTAAGTATCTTCGTAAAATTTTTTTTTAATGTAAAGATGACTATAAAGTTATTGTTATGAAGACTATAACTATAATATTATAAAGATTCTAAATAATATAAGTTATCTTTATCTTTTTTTAGACTATAATTTAAAGAATTAAAGTTACATAATTTAATTTTGAACTGAATTAAATATTTAAAGAACAAGGCATAGTACGTAAGTTTGTTTCGTCTAAAAAATTAAGTTTTTTCTACTAAAAATCACAACCAAATTTAATTTCATTAAAATTTCATATTTTTTTTAAACAAAACGAAAGAAAAAGTTCAGTTTAACTTTAAATATTATCAATGATTGTTTTAAAACAAATATTTGGAAATGCTATAGTTAATTGAGTGAATAATATTAACAATGCTGAATAGTTAACTCTACAAAATTTGATTTTAAACTGTGTGACATATTTAAAAAACAAGATATAGTATGTAAGATTGTTCCACTTGAAAAGTTAAGTTTTTTCTACGTAAAATTAAAAAAAAAAATAACTAAATTTAATTTGATTAAGATTTCATTTTCTAAGAGAAAGAGGAAGTTCATGTTTGACTTTGAATATTATTAAGTAATAATTGTTCTAGAAATCATATAGCATTGTACACGCGTTATATTTTAATTAAAATTGAAAATTATGTAACAGGATAAGACGATGAATGTGGAATGATGATATTATGTATGAGGAGACTACATTCTTAATTCTAAATGTACAAATAACTGATTTATAGTTATTTTATATTTTTAATGATATGCACAGACATAAATGGAAAAAAAAATTTTTTTACATAATGGAGTGATCTCATGAGAATGCTTGAAAGTAATCAAATTTGTTGATTACGAGTTATCGTCATGGTAATAATTCTAATAAAATAAATATCAACGTGTGAGTGAATGAATATTTTTTTTTTTATTATTGTGTATCGATATACCCTTTGGTATAATAAAAAATAATGCTTCAAAGAAAAATTTATGATAAAAATTATTATCGTTCATTCCACACTTGAATTGAAAAGGAAATAAATTATCGTATGATAATCTTCAGGCAGAAATAGTAATGAAGCTATTCTAACATGGTTCCAAAAAAAGCTCACATTTTCTCATCGTATACTTCTTTAATTAGTATTTAAATTTTGCTATGCATAATAATGATAATTATAAAAAACAATTATTTCGCTCTAGTTTTAACAGAGTTAGAAAAAAAGAATAAAGATGCACCAGTTGGTATTAATCATCGATATAACATACGAGATAAAGCTGATAAATTGAAAACAATAGATCTTAGCATTGATGTGTCAGTAAGTCTGTTAGATTAATCTATAAATAAATTTCTTCACTTCATTTTAATTGACTTTGTATATTTAGAAAATTGATTCAAAAATTGAGCGAGTCCTTAATACCTGTGAAAATTATAACTTAGTTACTCAATTAAAACCAAAACATTTTTTACATAGTTAGAAATTAAATCAGATTAATTTATTTATTTAACAATCTATTTTTTCTGCATATAAACAATTCAGTCTAATTTTTTATTTAATTTAATTCAGTTATTTTCTATTGTTTGAATTTTATGTTCGAACATATATTTACTTATGATATGAGCCGAGAGAAAATCTTCTTTATCAACTGCAGAAATACAGAGGGCGTTGGCGTCAGTACATTGTGACATTTACAAAAAATTACCATTATTTATTCATCAATTTATTTATTTAATATAATATAAAATAATAATATTATTCAATAAAATAATTGACTCTATTGTCATTCATCATTAATGAATGCTGTTAATAATTGTTAATATACAACCTGAAATATACATATTAAGATCTCGGAAATTTTACCGTAGTACAAAATCAAGTCGTAGGCATTTGTTGCATTCGGGACCTTCTATGGCACCCGGGTAGGGGGAATCAGTCGTCTCCGGGACTTTAGCCTAGCCTTAAAAGTTCGGAACTTTAGTTGATTGAAAATGTCCTCAGCTCAAGTAAGTCGAAATTTGTTAGTTTAAAGTTTCAATTATGAACATATTTTTTTTTATTAAAACATTTTTCTTTTAGGGAGATAAAATAATCAATTTTTACAAAACTTTAGCTAGTATTCCCACATTAAATTCAGCAAAACTGTTGTGGTTTAAAAATTCACAATTCTTTGTCCAAAGTAGTTGGACACAACGAAATTTAGAAAGATCAATTAATCAAAAGTTTATCATAGATTACGTTTTATCAAATGACTTACAAGTTATTGCAGAAAATTTTCCAGTGGATATTACATCCGAGTATTTATTAAATAAATAAAATTTATTATTATTAAACATCAATAATTAATTATTTACATTTTATGCTTTAAATAAATAATACATCAAGAGTCTTTCAATACGATTCATAATCCTTTTTTTTAATCTACTTCTAATAATAGATTAATTATTTATAGCATTTTTTTAGATCATTGTCTAAAATTTCAACAAAAAACGAATATAAAGCTATTTTGAGATCTGTTCAAGGCAAAGACTCCAGTAATAAACAATGTATTGAAATTTGGAGTAAAAATTGTTTAATTAAAAATTATGATTTATCAGCACTTGATGTCCATGGAGATGTTTATTTTGATGGTTAATTATTTGTAATTTAGTTGTCTATTTGAAGTAATAATAATTACGAATCGTATGATAATAAAAATTAATCTTCAGGTGAATTCGGTTCATTCTCATGGTCATCTGAATCTACAAAGCTTTTATATATTGCTGAAAAAAAATTAGAAAAATCAGAACCTTTCTACAAACAAAAGTCATTAGATAAGAAGAATGATGATAAAAATGTTAAAGGAAATGAATATATATTTAAACCTGATTGGGGAGAACAAATGGTTGGTAAACATCGTCCAACAATCTGTGTTTTAGATATAAATTCAAATATAATTTCTGCCTTGCCTGAAATGTCCAATGATCTTTCGCCTGGTCAAGTTATTTGGACTCCTAATAATGATGGAATTGTTGGAGTTGCATGGAAACATGAGCCTCGATATTTAGGACTTATTTACTGTACTAATCGAGAATCTTGGATATTTTTGTTGAAAAATGAAAATATGCGTAAGTCTGTTATTTTTACATTTAAAAGTTTTTGTGACGTAAATTTTTTATGTATATTATATCAGATGTAAGAAAACAAAAAAATTCCAGAAAAGCTTTCAAGTGATGGTTGTTGTGTTCGATCTCCACGATTTAGTCCTGATGGAAAGCATTTAGTATGGCTAGAACGAGATTTGAGTGGTCCTCATCATAATTGTCATCGACTAATGCACTTGAACTGGGAAAATCGAACTGAAAAAGTAAAATATAACGATCGATATGAAGATAATTATTTTTAAGAATATAATATATTCTAATAAAGACCATTTTCTATTTTTTAGGTAGATATTTTGATTGACATAGTCCGTCAAAATAAAGCTATTAAAAACGATAAATTATTTTATGGATTATATAATCATGATCTTCCACGACGATGCTGGAGTACAGATTCAAGATTTTTATTCTTCAGTACTCAACAACATTCAAATATTCGATCATATATTTTTGATTTAAGTATGTATATGTTTTTTTTAACATTTTTAAATGTATCTTACTACTATACTTCTTGTTGTGGTACTATCACTTTTTTAGACTTGAGTAAGATTATCAATAATTGAAACATTTGAAAAATTTATTTAATGGTACAATAATGTATTTATTACAGAAACAAAAGCATTATTAGAAATTGCTAACGATTCTAGTAGTCTCAATATTTTAGATGTTCAAAATGATATTATATTATTTACAAAAACATCATTACTTCAACCACCTAATTTATGTGTAGGCCGTTTTAATGGTAATATACCAGACTACATTATTCTAAATACCATTTCATCAACAAATCAAGCAATTGATTTAAATGAAAATTATATGTATGAAGTGAATGAATACTCGTATTGCAATGATGAAAAAATCAGTGAGTATTGACATAAAAATACATTATGCAATACCTGTAACAATTAAGTTAAGGTGCCTTGAGCAGAAAAATATAGTTATATAAAAGTATACCTTTGCGCACTAGTTTTAGGCAAACAAATAGATAAAATAATGAAATACCTACAGGAAAAGATTCGCGCAACAACAATCTATGGAATGAAACGAGATGAGGACGATTGGTTGAAGAATAAGCAAAAAATCCGAAATTAAAAGTCTAAAGCGATTTGACAGATTGTTTTTCATATTTCTAACTCCTACTTGTTTACATATGGCCGACCAAAATCTGTCAAATCGCTTTAGACTTTTAATTTCGGATTTTTGGCTTATTCTTCAACCAATCGTCCTCATCTCGTTTCATTCCATAGATTGTTGTTGCGCGAATCTTTTCCTGTAGGTATTTCATTATTTTATCTATTTGTTTGCCTAAAACTAGTGCGCAAAGGTATACTTTTATATACCTATATTTTTCCGCTCAAGGCGCTTTAAATTTCAAAAATTTATTAGCATAAATATATAATTTTAGGAAACTTTAATTATATCTACTATGGACCAAAGCATGGTGACGATAAAACTTGTCCATTAATTGTTACTCCACATGGAGGACCTCATTCATCATATGTAAACACATTTTCTCTGGAATCAGCATTGTTAGTTTTACTAGGTAATTTGCTGATTTATTATAAACCGATTATTATTTTTTAATATAAAATTGTCAAAAAATCTTTAGGATTCAGTATAGTACAAGTGAATTATCGGGGTTCAACAGGAATGGGTTCGGACAACCTAGAATATCTTCAAGGACGGGTTGGAAATATTGATGTCATTGATTGTGTTACTGCCACTCATGAAGCACTTAAAAAATATCATTGGTTAGATCCTAAAAAAATAGGATTGAGTGGTGGCTCTCATGGGGGTTTTTTAGTAGCTCATTTGAGTGCACAGTACAATGTATGCAAAACTACTTATTTTCGTCATACCCGTGCGGAAAGTTTATTTTTTCATTGGAGAGGAGTTGAACTTTCCACACAAGTATGACGAAATAGTACATTTTACACCTAGAGAGGAAAAGTAGACTATTTCAAAGTACTGAAAAATTAGTACCAGTGATGGTTGAATCTGAAAAATTTCTATTAATTATCTATTAATACATATCAGATCTGAAGACGACCCCATCAGATTAGATCTGAATGTGTTTTTTACGGGTCTCTAGGTGTGAAATGTACTAATTTTTTTCAATTATATTGACGAAAATAATATAGCACTCAAAGTTGCTGTTTATTTACAGAAAATATATAGGGTTGTTGTTTCGAGAAATCCGGTAATTGACATAGCTGTGATGTTCACTATATCAGATATTCCTGATTGGTAATTAATAATATTTTTTAGATCATGATATTACATTCACTAATCAAATCATTTTCTATAAATATTTCAGTCGCAATGCTCTGTTTAGTGATGAAAAAATGGCCCTTGGCCATGATATGTAAGCTTAAAATGATCATTTCTACAGTATCTCGATATATATATGTATATACACTCATTATTATTGATACGAAATATTGTTATAATATCCGTAATTTAATTAATGTTTATAATCTATTTGAATCGTAATTTCATTTCAGGTGTGCAGCCGCGATAAATACACCATACTACGAAAAATTTGACAGTGGAACACAATCTAATAATGAAGAAATTTTATTGAAAATGTTTAAATGTTCACCTATCGTTCATGTAAATAATGTAATAGCACCAACTCTGCTTTGTATAGGAAAAAATGATCTTCGTGTCCCTCCTTCTCAGGGAAAACAATGGTATCATCGATTAAAAGCAAACGGAGTTTTAACAAAGTATGATTATTAACTGTAAATTAAAGAGACATTTTTTGATAATTAATGGAATTATTGTAATTATCTTATTTTATTTTAGAATGCTTATTTATGATGATTGCCATCCATTAAATAATGTTCCAGTGGAAATGGATGCAATAATTAATGCTGCATTGTGGTTTTGTGAGCACTTCAAAATTAATAATTAATAAATACTTTTCATCAAATGGTGCGGGTGTTATAACAAAATTATAAAAAATTGATACAAAAATTTATTATTATTGAAATAATTTATACAATATGAATGATAAAATCATTTTTCAAATTTATATACTAATAAAGTAGATTACAAAAATAGTTTTTTTAGAAAAAAATGTACTACAACATTATTTATATAAAAATCTACTTAAAATGGATAAACTTGCTCACTATTATCGGAATGTGAAAATACAGTTCGCATTTAATTCATTGAGTATGAAAACAACACAATTAGAGAATAGTCATAATATAATGAAATTAACATTTTACAAAATATTATCATTTATTGCAATAATTCTTATCCTGCACGATTATTGAAATTTATGAATAAAATAAAAAAGATTTAATATAAAAAATTGATCATCAAATCTTAAAATTAGATGGAAGTTGAATTTTGATTTTCAGGAAATAATGATTCATAACTAGGAGGTAAGTCCTTATCAAGTGCAGTTGAAACACCACTCACATGAAGCATAGGTGCTGAGGAAACTGGTTGTTCAGAAATAATTCCCGGCTCATGATTTGTATTCGAATAAGTATTATTTTCTAGTATAGGGCCTGCACAATCGGAAGACCAGCATAACTTTTTATGTCGTCTACATATCCAAAGACTCATTAAAAATATTATAAAACAAAGAACAATACTTGTTACTGCAGCTACTGTTACTTTAGCCCCTGTACCGTTGTTATGTACGTCATTAAAGCAATTATTTTCATCACTACAGTAATCTGTAATGCAATTTCGGTATCCATCACAATTATAAGTATCTGAGATACAATAGGTCGGCAACCTATGTCGTAAACTTATATCACCAAGTCGTTCATGAAATCCTGTAGTACAGTCTATTAACAAATTATGACAATAAAATATTTAGGTTGATAGTGTAAAAGATGAATATTATATTTTAGAGAAGTTTCTATAAGTAGTATCTTGTAAATTATTATGTAATTTTATTTACCTCTATATGGAGTATATGTAATTGTAATATCTAAAGGTTGATCACTAGGTTTAAGAGGTTCTTTGGAAACAAATATTACTGTTTCTATTTCTCCTTCAAATTCGGATGTTACATCGAGAGTTAACATTCTACCTAATTGTTGATTAGAATAGAAATCTATTTTTGATCCGTCGAATTGTCCGCAAAATTTTCCGGTTTCATTATGATATTTTCTACGAAACTGAATATTATAATTAATTTTAGTTACTATGACATACATAACAGTTTAACTTAAAAATATAAAAATTTAGTAAACACAAATAGAATTTTAGTACATATTATACCTTGATATAATCCAAACACTCGCCACGAACTTGGCGAAAAGATAAATTTTGTATTACAGCCATAATGCGACGTCCTTCTGTTTTTATCTTGAATTTACAATATAAATCAGTTGTACGATACGTCCAACTATCGAAAACATTATTTGGTCGAATCATAATAGCATTCGTATTTATAGTTAGTGGTTTTAATTTTCTACGAAGAGGATGACATATTTCTTCTTCTGCTAAGGAATCTGAAAAGATAGAAAAAAATGAATTTTAGTCATCAACTAATGGAAAAATTTAAAAATATAAGTTTTATAAATTAAAAAAAAAATTAATTTTAACTAATTATTAGGAAATAATGTGTTTTAAAGATTAATTACTTACGTATATCATATGCAGATAAAGAATTTTTCGAAGAATTTCGATGACATATTCCAAAGCATACAGAATCAAAATATATAATAAAATACAAATAAATATAAAGAAACATCTGTTTTCCATTCATCATTGATGAAGTGTCAAAACATCATGGCTATTTATATCTTTATTTGTCGTTCTAACAATTAATAAATTGCAAGTCAAATAACCATTGATGTATTAATGTATATGAATATTTCGTCATTGGAACGTGGAAGACTCATGATTCATAGTTATTACGTGATTTTTTAAGATTTATATGCTCATTTACTAGAAGATCAGATACCATCAAACATCAAACAGGTTGAACTACTTTGATCATAAATATTTTTGAATTTTAATGAGGACTATCAAAACTATTGCAAAAACTATGAATTACCACCACACTAGAAATATTTTGAGATTGAGTAATAATTATTCAATATTTATATCTTCACTTTGCGATACCTTTTTCTTTAAAACACTGGAAAGTGTCTGTACATAAAAAGACAATGGTCGGCCATATTTAATTGAACAACGCCATATTGGCTGACATATTGGAAACCATATTGATAATGTGAGTGATTTGATTGGTTTTAGATCACGTGATAATTTTAAACCTGATATTTATCAGAGAAAAGAAATAATATACACTGACAGAAATTTTTTCCGGTGGCGAATTATAGAATTTACTTGTCCCCAGTATAAAAGTGATAGGTAAAAAAGTTTCGGAAGGCAGGTAAAGAAAGTACCTGGAATCAGTAAAACTTCGTTTTAAAATGAATAAAAAAAATACTGAGTCTAAATACAGAATATACCACTCCTGAGTAGACTACAAGCGGTTGAAGAAGTAATAAGTATACAAGTTTTATGAAAATAAAGTACTTGTATTTAAGTAGTCTTTCTACTTGGAATCAGTATAATGTGAGCCAATGTATTTTGTTTATCTCAAGTAGGTAGATAATAAAAGAAGATTACAAAGTTTACTTCAGTTGATAATATAGTTTTCTTACACTGAGGATCTTCCTTACTTACCACAAGTGTATTTTATACGGAGATCCCGTATAAAGCGTACTTATGCTAAGTATAATGCTGTTTTACACTTCAAAAACCATGTTCTCACATTATGAATCCTTTTTTATTAATAAGAAAATACTTGTTACTTGATTCAAGTATGTCAATTCTTCACTGCAAGTATATTATATACTTAAATTAAGTATACGAAGTACTCATGCTAAAATTTTTTTCTTATTAAATTTAAAAATTTCAAAATATAAATAATCATATTAATAATAAAAAAGTTACTGTTATACCCATTGGTATTGGTCAATTTAAATTAGTGACCATTACTGATGAAGTAATTTAATGATTAAATATTCAGTAATTAATAAATAGATGAAAAGTAATCTTATAATAATTACAACAATTACTGTTGTACTTTTAAATACGTGGAGCTGCTACACTTACACTGGGCAGCAGCTCGAGATATTGAAATATGCAACAATATTTGTTGCACTTATGAAAAAATTATGATTATCTCTATGAATTAATAATTATACAATCAATCATTTATTTATCATCATCAAAGGTATTATATCGAATAATTTATTTCTGAGCGCTAAGTTGGAAAATAAACACTCTACAGGCATAGTCTAACTGGAGCAACTTGGAGTTTTTAAAAGCACAACACCAATTTGTTGTTATTATCATTCAATTATGATTCTTTCTCTAAATTAATCAATGAACATTAAATAATTTTATTATGATTATTAAAGATTTAACATTAAGCCATTTATAGCTGAACGCTGGATTGAAAGATAAACTCCTAAAGCTCCTAACATGTCTTACTGCAGCAGCTTGAGGTATTGAAATGTACCACAATAATCGTTCCAATCACTGTAAAATTTCGATTCATTTTTAGAATTAATTAATAGACATGCAATTAATTATTAATTATTATTAAAGATTCTATAATCAATAATTTATCTCTGAGCGCTATATTACGAGTTAGACTTTTAACAGGCCCAGTGTAAGTGTAGCAGCTCCACGTATTTAAAAGTACAACAGTAATTGTTGTAATTATTATAAGATTACTTTTCATCTATTTATTAATTACTGAATATTTAATCATTAAATTACTTCATCAGTAATGGTCACTAATTTAAATTGACCAATACCAATGGGTATAACAGTAACTTTTTTATTATTAATATGATTATTTATATTTTGAAATTTTTAAATTTAATAAGAAAAAAATTTTAGCATGAGTACTTCGTATACTTAATTTAAGTATATAATATACTTGCAGTGAAGAATTGACATACTTGAATCAAGTAACAAGTATTTTCTTATTAATAAAAAAGGATTCATAATGTGAGAACATGGTTTTTGAAGTGTAAAACAGCATTATACTTAGCATAAGTACGCTTTATACGGGATCTCCGTATAAAATACACTTGTGGTAAGTAAGGAAGATCCTCAGTGTAAGAAAACTATATTATCAACTGAAGTAAACTTTGTAATCTTCTTTTATTATCTACCTACTTGAGATAAGCAAAATATTTACAAAAATGCAGTAATCGCTATTCTTGGTATAAATTAATATTATATTAGGATTGAGTGATGAAAAATTTAAAATCAAGTTAATGTTATTATGATTGTACAGTACACTTTAAACTTCATTTTGATATAAAATGTACTTGCATCAAAAAATAATTATACTCAAATTGAGTATATTTTGTGTTTGCCGCTAGTATACTTTCTAGCTATCACATTTTTTCTGTCAGTGCACTACTAAAATAAACGTGTCTCTTGATTTTATACTATGAATTGATTTTTTTGACATTTAGACAGATGGCAAGGACTAACGCAAACACGAATTTTGGGCGAAAAACGTATAAAAATAGAATAATTAATGATTTTTCATCTGAATGATGTGGCCGCCATCTTGGAATTTAAGCGCGGCAAGTCAGTTCATAATTTTTTCATTATTCTTTCTAATTTTTTTAATAAAAATATTCACTATATACAAAAAATTGTTGTTTACGTCAGTCTGGCATTAATTCCTCTGTAATTTGGTACCTAATTTTATAGAAATAATCGTAAATTGGCGAAGAAATTAGAAATATCCCGATCCCATGTATTTGGATAGGGGGAATCAGTCGCCTTTCTGACTTCAGCCCAGCCTTAAAATTTGTAAATTTCTTGGTGCCCTAAGGCTCCCTTTTTGTAGTGCATCCCTGAAAATTATCATTTTTCGAACGATTTCATTGTTACCTACTCAATTTCAGTTGATGTCAAGCTTCGGTCTTTTGCCGCACAACACGAGGGCGTACAGTCAACTTCGGGAAATTTTCTGACTTCAGTCCAGCCTCAATAAACAATGTTCATATTAATTTAATTAATAATTATACTCAAATTGAGTATATTTTGTGTTTGCCGCTAGTATACTTTCTAGCTATCACATTTTTTCTGTCAGTGTAGAAGAACCACCGCATGGAGATCCATTGAACAAATTCTTGGCGATACATATGGCATTTTGCCATTTGCTTTGTATCCCCAGCCATATAACAACAGGTAAAAATTACCGTCCAACAGCTCTCATTGGGATGGTTCTTCCAAAGAATACTGTTGTAATAAACCTTATATTTCTAGTGTTTGTACCTTACAAATAAGATAAACTATCCTTCATAGGTAATATTTCGAAGCAACTTTCAAAACCCTTTTAACGTCCTGCAATGAACCCTATTCTCTACAAATACTTCGTAGATTTCTAAATTCCTGAGATACTAAATTTGTTACAGTTTCACCAAAGATAAAAAACTCTCGACGTCACAGGACGCCTACCCCTTCCTGTAATAATTTCCCAGATCCTAAGCTCTTTAAATAGCACCTTCCCTTAAACTTAAGTTAGTTTTAAACAGATCTGAACATTGTGGATTTGATAAAATTGTAACGTGTTCAATTTTCAATAAACATTCATCTTAAAGTATTTAACTAACTGTGTGAAAATTGATTTCATTACATTGGTGTCAGAAGTGGGATCGACTCTCGAAAATTACAGTATTAATACTGGTTGAGAAGGATCCAAAACAAAAAAAATCAAGAAAGTTACAGAAGTTGAATCTCTTCAAGATCATCGACATCCTAAAATCTAAATCTTCGAAATCATCAAATCAACTACATCAAGAAAGTCTAATTCTTCAAAATCAACTACATCAAGAAAATCGAATTCTCCAAAATCTTCAAAATCAACTACATCAAGGAAATCTAATTCTCCAAAATCTTCGAAATCAACTACATCAAAGAAATCTAAATCTTCGGAACATCACATCAACAACAACAACAACGAACTCATCGAGTCTTCAAATCCGGTGAATCATCAGTTCTACAGCGATCCTCAGCTACAGCCAACATCAATTGCAACGGTCATGATAGACATCCTACTCTTATTGCTAGTAGATTATTAACTTCTTTTAATGGTGATAGATCAACCTTATTTGAATATTGTGATAATTGCGATAAAGCTTTAACATTAGTTAAAGATGAACATAAACCCATAATTTTTACAATCATACAAACGAAACTATCAGGAAACGCACGCGCAATTATCCGCAATAGAACATTCCCTGACTGGAAAAGCCTTAAAACATACCTGATAGACGCTTATTCGGAAAAGAGGTCACATGCTCAGTGGCAACTAGAATTATCTTCCTGTAGACAAGGTCCAAAAGAAGACATTATGTCTTATGCAACTAAAATAGGAAATTGTTACTTTAAATTGACGAATAGCCTCCGACCCGACCTCAGTAAATCAGATAGAGCAGCTTGTGTCAAACTTTTACAAAGACAAGCAATGAACGTTTTTATTTTAGGGCTTCATAGGGACATTTCCCTAGTCGTAAAAACTCAAAAGCCTGAGACCCTTGAAGACGCCATTCAATATGCGATAGCTGAAGAATCTAAGTTAAAATCACGGAATGAAATATCTAAATTTCAGAATGTTAGTTCAAAAGAAACTAGGTATTGCACGAATTGCGACCGTACGGGTCATAGTACATTCCAATGTTTTAAATTTAGACCGAAAAATTTACCTAAAACTCATAAAATTAAAAGTGAACCAAACATTAGATATACTCAAACTGATGAATAAAAAACATGAAACTATTGCAAAAAACCCGGACATCTGATTTCTGAATGCCGGAAAAGAGCATATAACAATTCTCGGAAAAATCAAAATCAACCAAACTTAACGTTTTAAAATCAACCCAGGCAAAACAATCCTCACCCCTCAATATCACAAATCAAAAACAATCTCAATAAATTCGCAACTTAAATGTTGATATTTCTAATCACATCACTCAAGAAAATGAATCTTTAAACTTAACCGATGTTCCGGTAGCTGCCGGACCTCGGAACATTGGTTAAGTTTAAAGATTAAAATAACCAACACTATTGAGGAAAAAGTACATCTTCTACTTGATAGTGGCGCAGATATATCAGTAATTAAAATTTCCGAGTTAGATGACGATACTCCTTGTTTTGAA